AGCAAGCATACCTACTCATAGGCTGTTTGTTCATGTGCGCCGCCTTGTGGCAAAAGGATATAAGGTCAGCTTTGGCTTTAATTTTTGGGAAAGAAAGGATTCTCTTCTAGAAACTGAAAACACATTTTATAGAGTGATAGGTTTGAATTGATTTGGAATTTGGCATATTGTAGAAATGAAACTATGCAATAATTATTAACATTATAACTTCATGACTTTTGAACATATTGTTAGATATTTAAGGTAAAAAAATCCAAACTGTATAACTCTATGACAACTCCCTCTGGTGCTTATTAATTAAACCCTACATTGTGGAATAATATGTTTATTTTAAATGCTTCAGGATTAGCTTTTAAAATGTTGAAATGTTTGTTTTTTAACTTCTGTCCTATTTTAAATTTACTGTTTCTTATTTTTGTTGAAGGTGGGAGTTGTGAAGCAAACGGAAACTGCTGCATTAAAAGCCATTGGGGACAACAAAAGTTCCGTCTTTTCCCGGAAATTGACCGCTCTTTATACAAAATCTACTCTTATTGGAGAAGATATCCTTTTGAATAGCATTTTTCTCCCAAATGACACAAGGGATTTATTATGTTGTTGTTGTTAAGTACTGTTGAGTTGGTTCCAACTTATAGTGATCCTGTATAGGGTGTCTGTAGAGTGGGTGGTAGGGTTAGAAGATAACTTTTTTTTTAATCTTAGCTGTTCTTCAAGTGGCTGTATTTTTGATCCGATGAGCTAGTGTGGTTACTTTAATCTTTGATTACATATATTACTGAAGACGGAAGAATAACTTATGACTGGAAACAAGCATTTTTCAAACGCCATAGGAATAGCAGAATTCTCGTCATCCTGTAAGATTACAAAAAGTTAGCTGAACACAGGGAGCCTGATAAAAGATAATGGGAAGTTAGCAAATGATTTGAAATCAGTCTTACCTAGGCCATTTGTTGGCAGTGGGTAGGTGCTTAAGACATACAAAGTCTTCAAGATCTTACTGAATTGAGACCGAATAAAAATGAACTTTATTAGCTTTAAAATGGGAAAAGAAAACTGCAGAATCAAAAGGAACACATAGTTAAAGGCTTATGACACATACTAGTAGGTCATCTTCATTAAATAGTAATTTAACTTCATAAACATTTTACTATTTTTGAAATTGCTTTGTAACTGTGTTTTGAAGTAATCTTTTGTAATACAATGATTACCCTGGAGTTTATAGTCATTTATAAATTAAATGAGATACTTGAAACAAAATAACTTCCAAAGTAAAATCACAAAACACTGTTAATTTTTAAAACAAATATATAAAAAGAAAAAAAATTTAAACAATTAAAAAAAATGTTTACTGTGGAGTGGGGTTGTTGTTGTTGTTAAGTGCAGTTGAGTTGGATCCAACCCATAGTGACCCAGTATAGGGTTTCCAAGGAGCGGCTGGTGGTATCCCATTAATTAAAGAATGTGGGAAAAAGAAAGGTTTAAATGATATTGTATGAAAATAATATTTCTTAATATCCTTGGAAGATGTACAAGCAGAATGTTCCTTAGAAGTGAGGATAATGACACTTTGGCTCTCTTACTTTAGACATCTTGTCAGAAGGGATCAGTTCTTGGAGTAGAATATCATCCTTGGAAAGCTAGGGGGTCAGCAAAAAAGTGAAAGACGCCCAAGGAGCTGAATTGACACAGTGGCAGTAGTAATGGACTCCGACAACAATTGTGAGGGAGATGCAGGACCAGGGTGTGTTTCATTCTGTTGTGCAAAGGCTTGCTAACTGGACAGCACCTGACAAAAGCAGCAGCAGTATTTTAGTCATAGTTTATTGCATCCCTGCTTATTTGGAGACTTGCCTAGCTTCTACCCACATTCTGAGAACTATTTTCTTCCATGAATACCTTGACTAGAGAATGTATATCCTTCAGAATGGACCCCCTGACCAGTAATAAACCTGTGTCGCTCTATGCTGACTAGGTTATAAACCCAAACCACACCAAACCCGTTGCTGTGGAGTCTGATTCTGTCTCATAGTGACCCTACAGACAAAGTGGTGGTGCTGGTGCTTCGGTGCCGTGGAGTCAGTTCTGACTCAGTAACACTGCAAGGGTTTGCAAGGTTGGAAATCTTTA